CACTGTCACTTTGTCCTGCAAAGGCTTGCTGTTCCATTTCTTGGAGAAAAAGCTACCAATGGGCATGCATTTGCTTTTTTTCCCATTGTTACTATAATGTAAATTTACTTTTACAATTTATTTTTTAAATCAGTTACCAGAGAAATACTTACCTACCAGAGAAATACCTGTTTGCTTATTTTCTGCAGCTAGGTGCCTTAAATCCACAAGGATGGATCAATTTCTCAGCATAGTCTTTGTTACCTTTTGAAAGAAATATTAAATAAAAAGACCCCACTTTTCTCGTAGCTTTGATAGGAACACATCACAACAAAGCTTGACATTAAAATAACTGAGTTATTGTCGAACTTTTAAATGTACCAATACTTGTTGTATTTTCTTGTATTCCCAAGCACGTACAACACAGAAGTTGCTATATCCTGGTAGCCTTTCTGCAAAACACAGGGAGAACCAGCATAAGCACATCTCAGCCTCTGATGAAACTGTAAAAAACTGTCTTTACTTTTTTGTTTTTCAAATCTAAGCCAGGCTGTTGCACCAACACTAATGCAACCCCAGAAAGTCAGTGGGACTGTAACATAGATACAGATGTGCAGAAGATAAGCTGTTGTTTTAAATTACTGTTACTGGTGGATTGAGCTGGTGGGTATGACTGCTGCATTTGTTTTAAGAGTCCAAAAAATTAAATCTCCTCATAAACACTGGTCTCCATACCAGAACATATTATTGTCCAAGACAAAGCAATGTGCAAAGACACTTCAAAACATGCTGGTATTGCCCCAAATAGAAAAGAAGAGGAAAGAAAGAAGGCAGGTATGTGCGGTAACAAGGAGAAGGAACAGAAAACCAGACAGCAGAATACCTGTGAGCACACTCCTAAGAAAAAGCTGAAAGGGAGCTCTTTGATCTAAACACTTCCTTGGTTAAAAGGTCTTTGGCCTGCAAGCGAAAAAACCTATTCTCAGGTATTTGATGCCCTCTGTGTTCAGGGAAACTGGATCTTGCACATTCTTTATAAATAAGAGGAATTCCAGAGATACCTGAGCCTCCATCATCAGCCTCTCTCAAGAACACAGAACCCTTAACTTCGATCACTCACCTCTGACAAAAGGGATAACAGTCTGAGTTGCTCTCCTCCTCCTTTCCTCAAAAATTAGAAAGATAAATCATTCACACAGTAAAATGTGCTATATAGGCTACCTGAAAATAAAACAATGCTTTAGCTTCTGAAAGCATTACAAATCCAGACAACTTTTAAATATGCTTAAATCTAACAGTTTAGTAGAAGTTAGTTATTCCAAGTGAAAAACAAACCCACATTGTGGTCATAAAATTTGAATTTTTCTATGAAGAAAAAAAATTCTGCAGATTATTCAAGCTGGAAAACAAGCAGAAAAATGCCTTAATAGTCAGAGCAGTAGAGCTGGAATGCTCCTCTATAGATCGCCTACTCCAACTCCCCTGCTCAGAGCAGGCTGCCAGGCCTGTCTCCACTTGTGTTTTGAGTATCTTCAAGGACAGAGACTCCACAACCTCTCTGGGCAACCTGCTCCAGTGTTTAACCACGCTGACAGTGAAAACCTTTTTCTTATGTCTAAATTGCATTATAAAGATTGGACCGATCTAAACAGGCAAGCACTTGTCAACTAATAATGGTAACCCTCTTCCTTAGAGGAAAATGCCTCTCTTCTGCTTGCAATTTTGAAGTCTCTGAGATTTGCAATTTTGCTAAAGTGTCAAATGTACCAGCCTTAACAACAGAAAGCATGGGGAACAGACAGTGAAAAACAAGTTTGCTGATTACAGCTGGGTCTGTTCTTCCTAACTCTCTACTTTTAAAAATACGTAAATTCAAAGAGCATTTTGGAGAGTTTTCTCCCAAGTATGTACTCAATGTGACTCAATGCTACTGGAACCTTCAGTGTATGAGAAGAAACCTAAAATACTTTAAAATGTGTTAAACACAAACACACTATCACAGGATTCTAGGGAAGTCTCAAGGATCCCATATCAAGTGTATTTAGGTTCAACTCTTTGGTTTTGTTTTTTTTTCCTCCCCCTGCCAACACTTCCAACCCAGTCTGGGTTTCAAGACTGAATCTTGGCTTTTTCATGCCCTTCATGTCTAAGGCTAAGTACACTCAGTTGAACAATGCTTCTACAGCACTATTTCCTAGGCTGAATGCAAGTAAACTTGTTACCAGCGAGAAATTTGCACATACTAAATTTCTAACTCGCTGTTTGTCAAGTATACTTTCGCAGAGCCCCATGACTAACAGCTGTGCAACAAGCATTTGCTGAGTTAGACCAGTAAAATTGATGTAGCTCAACTCACAGACTTCAGTTCTGTCCCCTGCCCCTGAAAAAAAAAAAAAAAAAAAAAGGGGAAAAAAACGAAAGCAATCCACCAAAAGCACCACATAGGTATTTACAAACAGAATCACAGCTTTGATACATCAAGCAGGATGGATAAAAACTGCAACTACATGTTTATGGACATGTATCATGAGTTTTTAATTTACTTCGTATTATGAAGTGTTAACTGTTTTTCCATGAACATTCACAGTAAGAAAAAGACGAGTCAGAACAAAGCAATTACTCAACTATTTATTTTTTCTCCAAGTAACATTTATTAATAACATTCTTAAAGTGATAACTTAAGAGTCATAAGGAAGGGGGCTGTTGTCAGTAAACATACAATGAAAAGGTAGTAAGATTTTTATATTAAAGTATGACTAAAAAGGCTTTTAACATAGTGTTTAGCCCAACCAAATTTAATATTAGAAACATTCAAAATTGCTGAAAGTGTTGCAGTCAGTTCTACTGAACTTATAAAAACCTCATTTCAGTAGTCAATACTAACCTATTACTTATATAAAGTTTTAAACTCCATTCTTAATTTTTGTAAACAAAGCACCTAAGCATTTGAAAGAAAAAAGTTAGTTTACATCCCATTAAACTGCAGCACATGTGTGTGAAACTTCAGGCACGATCAGGCATGGAGCACAATTAGGCACAGAACAAGACTGAGCTTCCACAGCCAGGTGCTGAATGCACTGATGTTTCCAAAGGTCTTCTTTATTTATACTAATTTCATCATCATTTATAGCTGAAACTTTAATGAAATCTTCTGCATGGAGGATTTAAAGAGAAAAAGGAGTCATATTACATAGATTTGTGAAGTTTCTGAGGGCTTTGAGTAGTGCATGACTTTGAGTTATGATTTCTTTGTCTCTTTCAGGAATTTTCAGAAACTTCTCATAACCATTTAACTTTGGCAGATGCTGGGCTTGTCAAAAGGCATGACAACACATCAGAATACAAGTTTTCAGTCTGCCATTGGAACACTGAGGTATGCTGTAATTTAAGTGCCAGTCAAATAAAAATTGAAGATGGTGCACAAGATCACTATATTCTGAGGCTGTCAGCTCAAGCTTAGGTCAAGAAAGTCAAGGGGGGCAACTACTAACATATGAAAACTGTTTGTAATTTCTGTTTTCTTAGGGAAGTTGCAAACAAGGTGGTTATCTTACCAGTATCAACTGGCACCATGGTCAATCAGTGTGAATGGCAACACCTGATAACTCAGGCTGTAAATTTGTCTGCTCCTGACTTTTGTGAACAAAAGTTTAAACTTGATGTAAATTACATAAAACAGCAAATTTGCAGTAAGCCTTTGTTAACTGCCAATATAGATTTACAACTGTCTTAATTAGCATACTTCCAAAGTAAATCTAGCTAAATCAGATTTAATCTGGGTAAGTTTTCCTGAGCCGACATGCCCCAAACTAAGTATAAATGTCTAGAGGTGACCTTCAGACAAACACTGAGGCACTTACACAAGGCACTGCAGGAAAGCCTGCATTGCTGCTACCCAGCACGTGCTTATTCTGTTGTTTTCTCCACTTGTGCTGACTATAGGAATGACATTCATTCAAAGAATAGGAAAAATGTTTTAACGACTACCTGACATAGCACTAAGTGAACTCTCTCCTGTTGTTTCCTTCCCCAATTTTCTTTGGTGTAAAGTGTTAGCATTACAGCTATACAAATTTTCTATGCCTAATCCCCCTCAATTTGCAGTTTCCTGAAAAAAGAAAAAGTGTCAAACTCACTCAAACTCTTCTAAATGCAAACTAATGATTTAAACTATTTCTCCTTTTCCCAGTCTTTAAAAGCTAAAACAAATTAAGATCAAACAAGTTAAACGCATGCATTGGCCTTAACTAACACAGGCACTACTAGCACTATTCAAACCTGTTGTTTTGTCTATCAATTGCAAAGAGTTTTCAAAAATATTTTAAAAAAATATGGTGTAGATGCAAAAGCTAAAAAAACCCCAAAATCTATCCTGTCTTCACCCATCCCTTTGAACTGATCCAGTGCCAAATGAAGACCACAAATATAGACCTAGTCTCAATGAGTAGGAGAAGGAACCAGGCCAGAGTCAACATTTCACCCCATCACCCCCCCAATAGCACTGCTTGAGCAAACACACTCTTGCCTTTCCCACCATCTTGTTTGTCAATTATTCCAGGAGTTGCACCTAAGTTTCCAGGACCACTGTGGAAGTACCTCCCCCCTTTTATTTTTTTGGAAATGGTTGGCAATGTATATAATCCAAAGACTTGCATCAAAGCTTAACAATTTTCACAATTAAGGCATAAACCAGTGATACTACAGGGAGAGCTCATGACCCCAAGTTAAGTTTGCCCTGTTATCTATTTTATGGCTCACAATGTACATAGACTAACATAGACACTGTTTATTCAATTATTTGTAGTAATGGAACTATACTTTCATTCTTTAGTTGCTATAGTTACATTACCATCAACCTTTGCATTCAAAAATCTGGAAAGAAATGCCATGAAGGGTACTGTACTTTTTTTTTAAAATAAAACTGGACTAGTCAATCAAAATTAAGAAAACATTCATGCATCAAACTGATATGGGCAAGAAGATTTTATAAAAATATACTGTATAGAAACACATTTGGAAAATTGCATAGAAAACATCCTTTTATTTAAATCGAAATAAGGCACGGTTTTACTAGCTATGGTTTGACTGTAAAAATGCAAGTCTATTTTGATTGCTTTTATGTTATTAACAATATTTTCCATAAAAATATAGGTGTGGGAGTAAAAAACCCTTTTACACAGAGTGGGAAATACTCTATTGTAAAACTTCACCAAATTTACTGTAATTTACTTGTAGAAAATTTGAATACTATTTTAAATCAGGATCCTAAATGTCATTGTCCTCCAGGCTGTTCACTGGCTGATGCCATGCTTTCTTCATTTCCTGTATAATCCAGGTGTTCCATCATCTAAATGTAGGGGGAAAAAAAAAAAAAGATGGTTCCTTATAAAGAAATACTGCTTTTCCCCCATTGGTCCAAAGTATTTGTTAGCTAAGAGAAATACAATTAAACATGTGTTAGAGTGCATTTTAGCAGCATACAGATAGGAAGTCCTCTATAGATCAGAAAAGTATCCAGGCCAAATAATTAAAGCTCTCTTAGCTAATACTTTCCACTACAAAAGCATTCTCCAACCAAGGATCCAAGTCCTCTACAAGAAATTAAAACTTATGAGTCAGAAGTGTCTCAATTATTAAATACAGAGAACAACAAAAAAACCAAAACAATTGGGGTTAAGCAAATTTTTCAAAGACATGGTTTGCAGAAATGGAAACAGATGCTATGAGCCTACCTAATATTTACAGGTAGGAAACAATAGCTTGAATAGAAACGACTAGCTTTCTCTTTTCATGACTGTAAAAGCTAGCTATATTACAGTTAGTAAAAACTAACTGTATCAGCAACATTTCTTTGTAAATTTTCCTTTTATTTTAAAAAGGATAAAGAAAATGGAATTGTAAAGCCCTGTAACAGAAGAGAATCTAAACCAGATTATTATATAGACTGATTATACTTTCTAATTAATATAACTGGTTAGGCCACCTGAATAACATAAGACAACGCTGTACTTTTCCTGACTTTCCCTATCCACTGCTGTATTGCTAGAAAGCAATGAAGGCCCTGGTTTCCTCCCCGAGACAAGGCATCGAATAAATTACAGAGGTAATACACACATTTGTTAGCATGACAAACTAAGACCCATCAGTTTGAGGGCTTCAGAATTAAGCATAATTAACAAGAGGCCAAGGATTGGACAGTTTTTATAGCTGACAACCAGAGACGGAAGATACAGAAGTAGTAAAACTAATGCTGACAAACAGAATGTGTCAAGAAGTTCATATGCCCAGCATAGCAGTATTATTAGGACAAGGGCATAATGCTTTCAGCATCAAAAGGTAGAAAACCCTACATACAGTTCTTCCATAGCGGCATATCCTGTCTAGTAGTAAAAAGGCTCCCTGTCTTTCTGTAAAACAGCGGCTTACAGCTTGGGTTCTGAGCTGGGCAGATTTGCATGCAATGAGGACACGATTGCCTTCTTGTTTCACTAGCACCTACTGGAGGATCCTTGGCAAGACAAAGCCAGGCTCCAACACTGTTGTATTATATGCACTTTAGTGTGGTGGAACTCTTCATATAGGGCAAAGAAAGTAGTTCCATTAACTCTCTTCTCTAGCCATAACCCACCTCTCTGCCATACCTGCTTTTATGTCAACAGAATTGTTTCATTGCAAGGTATACAAACATAACTTATTAAAAAGCAAGTTTGTTTAAACAAACTCTTTCCCAGTCCACACACCCCAACACACCGTGCAGTAAGCTGAGATGACAATTCCAATGCAGAAACAAGTCACTGGGACTTAGGTAAGGCTTAGTAAAGCCTAGTGGCCGCAATATCAATCTGACTAAACCAGAAAAGGTCTTTCACATCCCTCCCTTCACATGTCAGAATTAAGACCATAAGAATTAAGGCAGACACTAGTCTTGCCAATACACCTAAGAACTGAGTTATAGCAGTAGCACACACTCAGTCCAGCAGTGAATATCAAGCTCCCGTGCTAATGACAACCTTGCATTCACTTTGGTATATCTAGAACTTTCCCTCTGCACTGTGACCAAAAACCCACATCAAAAGTCACCCAAAGCAAAACACTCCCTACAATTACAGAAGTTAAACCGTCATTTTGAATGAGGATTGAAGTATTTGTTTCCAGGGAAAAAAAAAAACAACAAAACCACACAAAACCACAACAACAAACTCCCACACAATACCACATTACATCAAGTAATATCACATATCTTCCTTCATCCTAGGGAGGATCATCTATAACAGCTGGCACAAAGAAGGTAGTTTTGGTAAGCATTTTTGTAAACTGTTTCCCTATTAATTGACAAGATGCTTCCAGAGGAAGAGTTAACACTCTTTGCAACAATTCAGTGTATCTGAAAGTCAAATATTCTACGTTGTTGTAGGATTAGAGTACCACAAAATGTACTTATGCCAGAGACACCACCTATATTTAAATTTTAACGTCTCAACTTAAAAATCTGATATATTAAGCAAACTTTAAAACCAAAAAGGCTAGTAGAGCATAAAGGGTGTTTGGGGGTTTTTGATATACAGAAATGTTACAAGGCAAAAAAAAAAAAAAAGCCACCCCACCCCTTTTCTAATCTCTCCACCATATAGAAGGATAGCCCACAAGTTGAAGTCAGGGACAACACATGCCTTTCTAAACATGTAACATTGCATTAAGCAGCTTTCTCCACAACTGTATCTCAGTTGTATGTTCTCTCAGGACACCACCATCCTCAAAGTCTCAGCAGAAGCTGCAGGAATCTTTATGACAATCAGCAGCAAGATGAAGACATCATGCTAAAATCCTGGAGAAAGTTTTTGTTTCAAGCCTCAAAAGAACCAAAGCAATGAGACTGTACGCTGTGGAGAGCTGATGAACATTTAAGATGGAAGAGATTCAGCAGCTTTTCTTCCGCATCTGAATTCCTGGCAGTTTTTAAGGGGAGTGTGTGTCAAGATAGCTTTGTAACTAAAATACATTTATGTTTAACCTATCTCCTAACAAGGTGAACTATTAAAAACCAAAAAACCAACCAAACCCCCAAAAAACCACACATCAGAGCCAAACTAGAAATGGCAACACAAACTCCTACCTGTAAAAGAGTACACAGTACCTATGCACAAATTTGACTGCGAGATTTACTCCAATGATTTTGCATTTACGTAATTCTTAACAACTTCTAGCTATGATTAATTTGCAAGTATCTAAAAACGTGATTTAAAATTACAGTACTAAACAGCAGGAACATGCTGTGTAACATGCCAAATCTCTTGATTTATTTCCAAGAGAGATAAAGCTTGGTAAACACTTCAAACTGACAAACTCTTAAAAAGTTGCAAGACTATTCCATCTAGAAGACTTCAAAGTTGCATAAGTTCACTAGATTTTTCATAATGTTACTAAAATGATTTCACAGATTGTACTGATACAAAAAACAAACAGTATTTCCCAGTTATTGATTTAATTTAAAAGTAAGTATCAAATTAGTTTATCATGCAGGCATTCATGAGGAGTACAAGCAATCCAGAAAACCTAGAAAAACCTTTATTATATACTTCACAGCAGTAATACTGCCTATTTGGTGGTAGGAAAGTAGGTACGTTATTCTCCCAAGAAATCCCTGTGCTTCAGTGAATAGTTAAAATCTTTTTCTGTGCAGCAACTCATTACAGCTCAAGACTACTCCATAAAAAAAGCCACACAGAGCATAACTAGAATTTAAGACTGCATCATTATGCAGAAACAGAAATGCTCTCAGCTAAGAATTATGGGACTTCAGAGCTATCTTAGAGAGTCAAGTATTTCCCATATGTATAAAGCACAAACTGAAAAAAATGATTTTAACAATGCTATCCAAGAACTTGAGTGCACACAGCAGGGACAGAAGAATTTTACGTTATAAAAATACAGTCTGGTCATCTGATTTTAATTTGCATTCAAGCCCTCACGCTTCCTAACCTCTTCTGGGGTTTGTATCTGATTTCCTTATTATTAAGACTTTTTAATAAGACTTAAACCATTTAAGACACAAGCAGAGTTCACCATCTCAAATTGTCTTCAGTGTATAGGGCAGACAAGCTACGTTTTATAGAGAGATGTATAACTCCAGACTGCCAACTAGAATTCAAGATTACATTTAAACGCCTAAATTCTGCAAGAAGTTGAAATTTGAAAGCTTGCATTGCTCTCTCCATGCTGTGCTTGAGAGAGCGGACAGTTAAAATAAATACCATCAGTGTCAGCAGTCATGAGCTATAGCCTAGTAAGGTTAGACTGCAGTGAGAAGGTTTAACAGCTGTGCAGCAGCAAGACCACAAAAGCTGGTCTGAATCCTTGTTCCCTATCCCACTGCAAGCACTGCAGACAGCGTGTTGAGTGATTGTTGATAGGATACTGTACACATGGTTACTAAAGGCAGATTATAATCCTGAACATTATAACAGAGGACAACAAAATTGTTGTTTAACACTAAACAGGTTCTCATGTCAATGCAGTGACACAGAAAAATAAGGACTTCCATATAGGTGACTGTAGAGGAACCAACACCAGTTCTAAATATTTGAAGACACTCCTAAGGATTTGGGAAATTATACAGTAAAGGCATACAAAACCAGCCTTCAGGCTTAGGAATGACGGCTCCATTGGTGCTTTATGTTAAGTTTTCCCATATTCCTTTAAAGGAAGGAAAAAAACCCCACCTAAGCATAACAGATTTATCGCTTGTCTTCACTTCTACCCTCTTCTATTGAATTACTCAGAAAAATTAAAAAGATAGACAGACACAAAAAAGAATGAAAAGAGGAAGCAGAGGGAGAAAAGAAAAAAAGAAACCATAAGATGGTTAATAGAGTTGCATTAAAAGAAGGCTATAATCACACCTTGTAGCAAAGGCGTCCTGGAGGAGTCCGATACCTAAATAAAATTCATTCCATTATTAAAATTATATACAACAAAAATCAGAAAAACCCAAAACTCAAAAAAGCTAGCTAGTTGACTGTACACAAACAGCAGCATTCATGAAGTTTAGTCACCTGATACATGTTCTTGTACCCCTATTCTTCAGATGCTTTTCTCTAACAAGTCTGCAAGGTTTCTCTGTTCCCATGAAGACAAAGCAAACCTCTACAGAAGTCTGGTCACCCTTGTCAACGGGGCAGCTCGACTCCAGTCCAAATTACTATTGTAGCAAAAAATAGTCTTCTGTCACCTTTCTGTACCTTTCCTCCTCAGAATGAGCACTGAAAGGTAGAGATTTCAACCCTGGGGTTGTGTGGTTCCCCCCACCTCCCCTCCCATGTTTGCCAATTCAGTAAGGACAGATCAAAATACAGCTTTGTGTGAGGAGGACAACATATGAGAAAAATCAATACTGCAGCATTTTGAGAGTGCAACTTGAGTAACACTCTCTGAAAAAAATTAATACAGAAAATGTTCTTCAGAAAGTTACAGAAAAATAGTAGTTAGTAAAGTTACACAGAGAAGTTCAATCACAGACAAGTCTAACTCGGGGGTGGAAATCAACATTTTAAATTGTGCCAGAAATGAAGTCATCTGACTTCAAACCAAGCTGAAGTTTGGAGCAGTTTTAATCCTTCAAGAAACCAGTTGAACGGACATGAAATAACTACTATGGCAACATAATTCTTCCAAGTATGAGAAGTGCAAGAAACTTTTGTTGCTAAAGACAGTTGCCAGATTTACTTAGGCCAATCTTACTCAAAACTCAAGTGAGGAAAATAAATTGCAAAGCTTTTTCCCCCAACAGTCCCACAGTTACTGGGCTTCATATATGCGACACTTTATTTTAGAATAGCAGTCACCAATTTATATACAAATGTATAGTAAGCCAAATTCATTCTGACCTACAGAGAAAAATTTCCATTCACTGGACCTATGAAAGGAGAAGAGTTGGTTTTTTTAGACAAAAAGACAGCATACCTAGTTAAAGGTGAAGATCTCGCAAGTAATTTCATACCTAGCCAACCTCCAGCTGAAGCAGGTGTAGAATATTAGTTAGATCAACAAAAGGCAGCATTTAGCTGATAATGCCCTAGGAGCTGTGTGCCTGTACTTTTACATTTACAGGAATTACCACCACCTTGACTTCCATTGATCCACTTAAACCTTGCAATCCAGAAGTCAAAAAAGCAGGAGCTGCTTGTTTCCACCATCAAGTTCACATCACTCACCTTCCCCTGCAACCGACTATCCATTCTCTGAGGTGAGTTCAACACAGCCTAGATACAGGTGATAGGGTCTGAATTCAACCAATATTGGACTTTAGGTTTCAAACAAAATTTAGAGTAATCTCGAGACTGGTCTGTTTTACGATAAATGCCAGCTCACAAGGGCTACTGGCACACTTGGTTACTACAGGAAGTCAAATCAGGGGAATGTGCACATGTCAACAGGCAGAGGCAGACAGCTGATCCGATTTTAAGAACTGCAATTCTGGGTAGTATTAGTGATAAGCAAAGGAGAAATGCAGAATACCCAAGGTGGTGTGCACACAGTGTGTGCTGCGATTATTTTGTTGTTGAATGCTCCATATAATCCTGACGATGCAGCACACTGGTGATGCAAGAAAAGTTTCTAAAATTCTAGTTGATCACCAACATTTTTGAACTGTCTCTTAATACAGGACTAGTGCAGATTGGCATCTGCATGCTTAGTTCCGTGACTCATGTCATACCACATCAAGCTGATAGTTGTGGAATGTTAATACATCAAAAAAACATTACAAAGAAAATAAAACAGAGCAAATAACTTTTTCCCCATGAGTACTGAACGAGCTATTTCACCTCCCTTAGGCTTTGTTCTGCCAATTCAACTACAACACCAAGATTTTCTATGAGTAAAGACTAAGTTTCGTTATTAGTTCCAGAAGATAACATGAAGACTAGCAAAAGTTGGATTGTGGGTGATATTACCCAGTACTTAGAGAAGCATATACTCAAAGGATTTAACAACAAAATATTCAAGGCATCCAGCCTACCTGGTAACTGCTGCCTTTCCAAAACTTCTTCATCTCTTTGCGCCTCCAAGCAACAAGCGAGCTAGTAATGAGTGTACATGGTACAAGATAGAGAAGGGCAGGTTGTCCCATCTTCATTAATGCCAACACAACGAAAGTCAGCACCATACCAATGGCATAAGCTAGAAAAAGATATTTATAGGTACACAATCAAAAACAGGTGAATTTTTAAATTAAGTCACTCATTTAGTAAGCTGGAAGTATTTTTTTTTAAAATTATATCTTCCTTGTTAATATAATTCAAGAAAAGAGGGACAATAGGTTGCTCTGTATTTGCAAGTTTTCTCAAAGCAACTGACTACCATAAAGAATACTCACCTTAAATATGGGCAGGCACATTAAAAAGATTATAAGAGATTCTTGACAACACTGAACTTTTACCTGAAGAAAACTATCTCATTCTGCTACAATTTAAAGTCTGCTAGATTTAAGAAAAGCTAGCATGAAGATTAACACTGCTGAAATATCACGATTTACCTATTGTACAGGAAATGTAATATACAGAAGATGAACTTGTTTGAACATCAAATCTTCGACAATAGGCAACCAGAAGCCCTTGAAGAAGGGGAAAAAAAAAAGGATTAATGAAATATTTAGCCATGAATTTTTTCTCCCTAATCCTCTCAATCAAAGCAGCATAAAAAGAATTTATCGTAAGACTTTCCGTTACCGTATGTTATCTTCTTCCCATTTATTTCTGGAAAGCCAAGAACCAGTTTAAGAAATCCTACGGTAAGTCTTGAAAATCAAAACCGTAATGGAAATATAAGCCAAGTGACCTTGGTATTAAAAGAGCTTGCTTAAAAACCCAAAACAATTACATTGTGCTATTTTCAATTTTCTAATACAGAAGAGTAACAACCTAGTTTTAATACTTTTCTTCAATAGGATTTTAATGCTTGCTCTTAACAATCAGCAGTTTTGCCTGCATGTTCACGAGATGGTGCTTTGTGCCCAATGTAAGTAATTTGCTCAAGACTCCAACTATGGCAAAATTCAGCACTTCTGAGAAAAATGGAAAAACCTGATAATACATTTTCTGTTACCTCACCTCTAATTAGGTGGTCTAGGATACGACAATAATATGAAGTCACAGAATACTTGCTTTCTGGGAGACTTCTGAGAGATTTAGTTAATACTGACAACTGGATTTATCTGTGGGAATTCTATTTACACAATGCAGTGCAATAGAAAAGTAAAACCCCTTCACCATTTAAGTGTTCTGTAATGTGTTAAGCTTTCTTATATTGTGACCTTTGTTATATTCCACACTGACAGATCAAGGCAAACTCCTGCATTTGATTTAGTAATTACTTTAGAGAATAAACTCTAATATAAGTCAGTTGAGAATCAAACCTAAAATATTTTATCGTAAGTTACAATTGCCAAAAACATTTGCTCACCTGGAACAATGATGTCTCCAAAACCCAACAATGAAAATGGCATGTCACACAGAGTCGATGCAGAGTATTCAAGTCTAGGCACTCTAATAACCACAGGTAACTGTAAAACAGTATTTCAGAAGCCCACATAAATCTAATCTAAAGCATCCTGGTGTTTTGGATTCTTTTGATTGTTTGCTTGAATTAATAAACAGTTTTAATGTAATTAATTTATTGTTAATGCAGAACTTCAAAATAGGTACAACCTAAAGTAAAAACCAGAAACCAACATAAAGAATGGATAAAGCTTAAGGCAACAGGTAAGCTGGAATTTCAGATTTACAAATAATATGCACACAAGGAAAAAAAAGTTAAGACAACATTTAACCATATAATAGGAATAACAAGTCTGGATTATTAACCTAACTATAGAGTACTGATCAATGATATCCAGGCCCTAAAGAGAAATTTGGACAGTCAGGTTTTCCCCAAAAGAATAGTCTTTTCAGAGGGAATCATTTAAAAATCCAGTATCTGAAATACAATCCTTACTTTCTCATGGGGAGCTGAGCGTTCAGTAGGGACTTCCACCAAGTTTCCATCATTCTAGGATCAAACCCAAGTCAACAGGTATTTAATACTTAAAAGAAAATAGCAGAAGCTGGCTATATTTTGTGAGAAAGTTATGCCAAAAAGCACGCTATGAATTAGCTACGCAGTGTCAGTATTTTTATGTTGCACATATTAAAACCACCATTCATACCTTTTCACTGTTTCCAAAAGGACCAGCTGCAACTTCAACCATTATGCTTGCCCCATTCTGAAATTAAAGTTATTTTTCAAAAGTTAGTGGTTTAATATACCAAAACATTCATACTACATTTACAAAAACTGATTGTACCTCATCTTACAGTTCAGGATTAGAAAAATGCTGAATATCAAAAGGAATGCACTAATATTGTACAGTATTATACAGTATTGTTTTGCATTAAAAACATGTAGTCCAGCCTAAAATAACTGTTTAAAAAAAACCAAACAACAAATCCACTAGATGTAGCTGGAAGTTTAGATAAAAACATGTCAGCTTTTTCTGCCATGAGCTTTCCGTTTCAAAATAAAAGGCGGCAGGCTTGCATACAATTCATACTACACTGCAAATGAATACCGCAGAAAGTACTAGAGCATTTTCCAATATACATCTGTTTAAAGCAAAAGAAAGAAGAAAACTGGAGGACAGTAATTTCTCATCATCATGCTGTCACACAATTGGGGACAGCTTACTTTTGGCCATGTAATTGCTGAAAACTTAGTCATTTAACAAAACTCCACTGGGTGAAAAACTGGCTGGCTGGCCGAGCCCAGACAGTGGTAGTGAATGGAGCTAAATCCAGTTGTTTTTTTGTGCCCCAGGGCTCAGTTTTGGGCCCGGTGCTGTTTAACATCTTTATAGATGATCTGGACAAGGGAATTGAGGGGACCCTCAGTAAATTTGTAGATGATACCAGGCTAGGTGGGAGTGGTGATCTGCTGGAGGGTAGGAAGGCTCTGCAGAGGGACCTGGACGGGCTGGATCGGTGGGCTGAGACCAACGGCATGAGGTTCTAGAAGAACAAGTGCTGGGTCCTACGGCCACAAAAACCCCATGCAGCGTTACAGGCGTGGGGAAGAGGGGTTAGAAAGTGGTCAAGCGGAAAAAGACCTGGGGGTCCTGGTTGACAGCCGGCTGAACATAAGCCAGCAGTGTGCCCAGGTGGCCAAGAAGGCCGACAGCATCCTGGCCTGTATCAGGAATAGACTGGCCAACAGGACTAAGGAAGTGATCGACCCTTTGTACTCGGCACTGCTGAGGCCGCACCTC